ATCCAACAATTCTTCCTACTCTACATTAAAAGCATGAACCAGAGGACACAGGCAGGAACTAAAGGAACACAAGAACTGTGGTGAACTTTTGTCTCAAATCCTTGCAGAATAAATGTCTACACCATATTTCAGGATATGCCCAAATCAGGTTGATGTTACCCACATGGCCTTGTCCCATTTGCAATCTTTATGGTCTTAAGTTTTTAGGTCTGCTGATGAAGTACATGTATCTTTCCTTATAATAAATATTTCCCGTACAGTCATTTTACTTGTGCCAGCCATTTGTGACATTAAGTTTTAAATAATATCAAATTGTTTAAGAGAAATGAATCACTTTGTTGATCTTTGTCCAGAAAGACCTTTCTGGTTTGTTGAGAACTCTGATGATCGTATTTTGTCAAAGCACTCTTTGCATTCGTCCGGCATCATGTTATGGGTTTCCAGAACAATCCCAGATCATTACAAAACGAAAGCCAATTAAAAACAAATTCGGGTTACATTCTGATGTCATAGTGAACCAACAGATTTTTACTCGGTTTGCAACCGGTACCATGTCAAATGTATGGGTGAGAAAGCTGGACCCTGAAAAAAGCTGACCAAAAGAGGATGGATGCTTTCGAGCTATGGTGCTGGAGAAGACTGTTACGGATACCATGGACAGCAAGGGTCACCAACATAGAGGTTCTGGAGCGCATCAAGCCAGAAATTTCGCTTGAGGGAAAGATCACCAGACTCCGGCTCACTTATTTTGGTCACGTGATGCGATCAGATTCATCGGAGAAAGCAATGATGCTTGGAATGGTCAGTGGAACAAGAAGACGAGAAAGAACGCGGTGGCTCAACGTTCTCAAAACAGATACTGGCTTAGGCATAGAACAGCTGAAAGGGAAAGTCCAAGACCGGAAAGCGTGGCGAGAGATGGCCTATAGAATCGCCGAGAGACGGATCCGACTGACAACATCATCATCACCATTTCAAAAATGGAGTTATACTATAAATGAAAGTTCAGAAGGAGGCTAACTCCTAACCTCCCCTACTTCTCCTCACCTAAAGCTAAGGATCAGGATTATAGTTTGGCTGTCTGTGGTGGAGCACTATCACTTCAAAAACCTCCCTCCAACTCATCATCTCACTTGGCTGCAGCTCTCTGAGTCATCCCATATGAAAAATAATGAGGATCTCATAGTGTCACCCCTACACTGTGCTAGTCGCTCCCTCAGCCAGGGTTAAGACAATACATCGCTGTAATTATTCTGTCTTAAGCTGGAGTTGGCCAAACTCTTGAACCAATAATCAGTTGTTCTCTCAGATAGCATTCTAGAAATAGCGGAACTTTTAATCTCTTCCAACACCATGCACTCTGTATGACCATCTTCACCAGTAAGCACCTACGACCAGCTAGCATGCAGTTCTCTGTTCCTGCCTACTCTGATTTGTGCTCAGGGTTTTTTCTCATGAATGTTCCTTCTTTCTCATGAAGGAATGGTGGTATGGTAGGGTCCTGTTAAAGGATCCTTCAACATCACAGTGACAAGTTAGCACCTTCTTAACATAAGTCCTGTTCTACTTCTACAAGATGTGCTGAGATCTACTGTATGTTGACTCATGTTTATATTTTTAAAGAAAGTGAGTGTACAAATTGTGCACACCTTGCCAGCACTATAGAACGAAAAACCAAGGCTTTGTAGCCCAGAAAACTCCCTGTCTGGGTTGTTTTTTGTAACACCTTTCAATCTAAAATCTGCTTCAAATCAAATTCAGTAAACATCCACTGTATATCCAGACCACTCAAGCAGCTATCTTAAACAGCTCTGATTTCTATTCTAAATGTTTATGTACATTTCAAGCCTAAAAAAAGCAAAAGACATATCTTTACCCTAAGCATTGTGGGAGTATAAAACAAACTAACCAAACATGTTATTGTTGGCCGCTTTCAAGAAACAGCTGGGTAAGATCCAACAAAACCTGTAAATTACATTTAAAGGGGATAATATATCAAACAACGTCTCCTCTATCTTTTAAAGAACGTTTTTATTGAATCAAAGCATGGTTTATTTGTTTGAACTCAACAGAAATGGTACAGACAGCTTAAATTTGAAACACAAGTAATGTCAAGAAAGCTTTAACTCATTATTCTTATTTGTTTGGAAATGCTATAAGTAAATAGTTTGTGGAGTAGATATACAGTGTTAAAGCTTTTATCTGTTTTTAAATGCACAGTAAAGCAATAGGTTGTAATTACATGTTTTCAAGGTCCTTGATTGCGATAAGCACATTTTCTGCAAGTAGGTGTTTAAGTACTTTATCTACTTTAGTTGGTCAGTATACCGATAAGAGGATTAGCTCCTTTTTAATCTAGGTGAGTACTGTATAAGGCCAATTATATGTATATTATATGTATTGATCCACATAATGGATTTTTAAAGTTTCTTTGTCTATATCATTAAATGTATTTCTAATTAGAAACTTTAATAAGAAAATTAGCATGGCAGTAATCACAGAGCTCTCTATACAGTATATCTCTCCTACTTTAAAAATTGATGATCTTTTCCATAGGAGACAGTATATCAATAGTACAGTTAATGCAAGACAATGTGTTCTTCCCATGTGATAGCATAAACTTACTAAACAATGGCTAGATCAACTTAAACAGCAATTTTATTAATTGTGTCCTATTGCATTGGCATATTTTTTCATCTTTTTTTTAGTTCAGCAACATGTCATAGACAGAGAAATCAACAGCACATACTGTACATAAAAGTTTGACTTCTTTTGGAAACATGAAAAAAATAATTAAGGTTAGAAATGCATTTTATCACAGCAATCAATAAAGCAAACGGCAATGATAAATTTAAGGAGAACTGAAAAACAATTAGGCATTATATTATAATCCTAACAATACAGAATGATGATCAAGATATTCTTTCAAGCAAATTAGAGGTAGACCTCATCTAGAAACAATAGGAGGACCTAATAAAATTGGCTGTATTTAGAGCAGAACATTAATTGACATTCCTGGTAACTCCTTGCAGAACCTAGAGTATACGATGGCTTTTCAATAGCAATTATTCCTGGTGGCTAGTTTTTAGAAGTACTGTTTATTTCATTTTTATAAAATGGCACACCTCCTGAAAAAGTTGATTTTTTTTATTTCCAGCATATACAATATATTGGAAAATGTTTTGCCTTTTTTTTCTACTGGTAAGACATGATTTTGAATGTTACTAAACCAACTGTGAGAATTAAATGTTAAATGAATCCTTTTGATTTCGAAACTGACAAGATGGTTCAGTATTGCTGCATATCTCAGACTATTGTTATGCAAATGAAGTCAGCTTCTATTTTTTCCCTTTTTCAGCTGAACTCAGCAGTTCTGGGGGAACATTTCGCACTCGATGAATGAGCTGTTCCTGTCTTTTTAATAAACACATCAGGTCACCTCAGTTAGAGATGGAGGGCACAACTGAGTTTTGTTAACTGCACAAAGGCGCAGTGTTTCTATTGATTAAAAGATTTGATTGAAAGCTTATAGGAAATTGTTTTAGGTTTGCTATTTTACCTAGAAATACCTACCTACAGGTCTTTCAAAAAATAAGCTCTTTCATTTAACTTCATCATGGATAAATATATTCCATTACACTTTACCAAGACAAAACTGTTTTTTCTGTAACTTTAAAAACTATAATCACAATTCCACGGGGGCATAGACCAAGAATAATACCACTAATATATATGCAAAATTCAGTTTGTTACGAAGTTAAGATAGATCTTTAATTAATACATTATAAACTGAATATTTCACTTGAACAGCAAAAAAAAAAGATTGTTCAAACTGAAAGGCTAACTTTTGAAAATAACTTTTCCAACAGAGTCTGGATACTGTACCTTTAAATTTAGCTCATCCACTTAAGACGAACCACAAAAAAACTGTCAAAAATCCATTGCATCAAATGCTGAAAAAGCCCCTAGAAGTGAGAGAAAATTAATGTCGACGGGCTAACTATAGAAACGAACTTTAAAACATTTGGATTTAAACAACAGTAGGGGTTCATTAATAAGACTGAAATATGACACTGCGTGCCGTCCTGTCAAGATCAACACAAACCTGCTGAGACGTGCGTTGCAGAAACGAAAAAGAAATACATGACTTTAAACAACAGAAAAGACTATTGCTCCTAGATCTCTGTTAATTACGGACATATGGCTCCTAAAGGAATCATTGAGGAAAAAGACCTTCTGGTACCCAGCTCCACTCATTTGCATAACTTGAACACCATTGGTTTACAGGGTGTGATGTAGATGGGTGACCTGCAAACTTTAGGCCACATCCAATCCTTGGTTTAGTGGTTGGTGGTATTTTTCTGCATTGAAACAATGGAGAGGGAGGGATAGTTATATAAAAGTTGAATACAGCCGCATCTCTTTTTTATAATAAAAGCTCTGCTTCTCTTTGGTTTCCTTTAGGCAAATGTCAATAGCACGGTTTTCAAAACAAATTTTCTGGGGCTGGACGCAGATAGATTGCTGATAAAAATATATTTACAAATATCCATAAGAGGCTTCATTTACAATTACAGGTGTGGGATTACCGAGATCAGCTCGTTTTTATTAAAAAAAAATGTTAACCGGTACATTACCGATTCTCTGATCGAATAGGAACCTTTGGTTGTTTCAGATTTAATCATCAGGAGTTATGAGCCTACATGTACATGAAACTAAAGAAAAAATAACTTCGCAACCAGTGTCATGCACAATGTTTGAGTTAAAACTCACTGTTACTAAAGCTTCTTTTCTCTCTTTCAGAAATGTCCATTATGATTATAATTTGTATTATTATTATATTTTAAATTATTTTAGTAGAAGATGGCGGTTTATTTAGCAAAATAAGAGAAAGGGGAGATGAGGAACAGCATCAATAAATCATTCTAGCCCCATGTTGTTCCCGGGAGATTTTTTGATGGATTAAATTAAGCACTACCATTTCCATCTACCACCTGATCGCGGCCCTATAAATCCCAACAGCTGATCAACAGACTTCAGAAATTCAAGACCTTGAAACAGAGAGGTTGCAAGAGAGACTGGGAGCTGTCTAGCTATTACGTTCTAGGGAGATTTTTTTTTATATTATTTTTTTGTTCTGTTTGTTTCTCGCAATCAAGGGAGCAGCGATCTTCCGCAGTACAACACATTGAAGGTGAAACGTGCCAAAAAAAACAAAAACTGGAAGGTTTCCAGTTTCAACGCGAAATAAAAAAATATACATATTTTAGATGTACAGTAGTATCGCAGAGGCAGCACGAAACAGCAACAAGGGGATCTGTAATGCGGGAAGCTATCCGGTGCTGAATTACACGCGCGTGTCACAAAAGGGAGCTATCCAGTGCTGAAGTTGCATTCTTCACAGCGAGAAGAGGTATTGCAGAACATAGGCTTGTAGCGAGGACTGCGTTTCCCCTTGTGCTGGTATTTGAATTTCTGCACAGCCAGGCCAAACCGCTGTGAACTAGTCTGCATTCACCGTTGCTAAAAGAGAGACATTCGGTACAGAACGAGTATTCTTTTTTTTTTTGTGCAGTATTTAAAACCATGCCAAGGTCCTTCCTGGTTAAAAAGGTCAAGCTCGACGATTTTTCATCTTCTGATCTCGAAAGCTCTTATGGCACATCCAGGACAGATCTTAGCGTGCGGCTTCACGAAAAAGGTAAATCGACCGAGTGCATTGTTCCAGTACTACTTATTTTGTGCAACAGCCGCATTTTTTAACCTTTGTTCCTCACAGCATGCAAAAGTTGCACGTGTGCGTTATGCATGTGTCGCACGTCTTTGTTTATGTTGATCTTTTTAAGGTTTTTCTAAAATGAGAAGTATTGTCAGCATCAAGCTTCAGCGACCCACGGTCTTGCTGTGTTCAATCGAGCCACATATCTGTTGACTCTGCAAATTTCTTGTGGCAGCTTTCTGTATAATCGACCCATTTGAAATACAAAAATACGTGAAAAACAAAGAAAAACAGTGTTGTGTCACTGGCTTGACAAAATCGAAATTTCTTTGTAGCCTATAACTGCATCGTTTAACAGTGTACTTTTTGCTTTGACAATATGACCTGTCCTTTGTTTTTACATTATTTGTCCGAGAATGCCGAAGCTTAAACAGCAAAATAAAACAATTACAGTACTGTGTTAAACAGTTTGTTCACATTTCCAATTATTACTTGCCTTCCTCATAATAAAGACTCGGCATACAATTACTACAATTGCATAACTAAGTTTGTTGGTACTGTACCTTCGTAGAATCTTTAATTCGTTACCATTTGCTACATGACTTCTGGCAAAAAAAACATTTGAACAGGATTTGTGACTTGAATACTTTGTGGCTCCACTGTTGGCAATCTCATTTATCATGTATTTTGTGTTGAAAATGGGTTACCATGCTTATTAAAATTGAGTGATATTGATTAATGAGATCAATGCAGAAAATAGAAGCTTCACAGGTAGTCAGGTACATTCATTTTCTTACACTGTACTGTAAATAGCTGAGATACTGAGAGGCTCTGAAGTACTGTAGCTGCGAAATTAAGTGGAAAAGTGCCAGAAATAGCTTGTTGCATCTATTAACCTGAGAGTTCTCACCCTAATCCCTATGTGCATATAAATAATTGAATAAAGATCTTGTTCTTTTCAACGTTAGGCTACATTAGCGACTACATCACCCCGTCTGTGTATGATGGCGAAAGCGACAGTACCATTAAAGTACCCTCTCCTGATCCCATCTATGATGGTATACACGGTGATTACGGCGCGCCAGATTCAGACCAGCCAGACAGCCCCCAGTCGGAGATCACATCTGGTTACATCAACGGAGACAATGCTGTGAGTGAAGGTTACACTGTCGATGCCTTCTTCATCACGGACGGCAGGTCGAGACGGAAAGTCATAAGCAGTCCCAGGACCATACAGCGCCACACTTGCAACGAGTGTGGGAAAACCTACGCCACGTCTTCCAACCTGAGCAGGCACAAGCAAACCCACCGGAGCCTGGATAGCAAGATGGCCAAGAAATGCCCAACCTGCGGGAAGGTCTATGTATCCATGCCAGCTATGGCAATGCATTTGCTGACCCATGACCTCAAGCACAAATGTGACATCTGTGGCAAAGCCTTCAGCAGACCTTGGCTTCTGCAGGGACACATGAGGTCGCACACAGGCGAGAAGCCCTTCGGTTGTGCCCACTGCGGAAAGGCCTTTGCGGATCGTTCCAATCTCCGTGCCCATATGCAGACTCACTCCGCTTTCAAGCACTTCAAATGCAAAAGATGCAACAAGACCTTTGCCCTGAAGTCCTACCTGAATAAGCACTACGAGTCCGCGTGTTTTAAAGGCGCGTTCTCGCCTTTGAGTCCGCTTGAAGCATGACTTCCGTATCGAAAGAACACACCAGAAACTCAAAACCAGTTCCTTTTGTTTTGTTTTTTTTCCCCCCGTTCGTTCTCCATTTCCTTCTGGGAACTTGACAATAGCACACTTTTCTCAGTGTTCTTCAGTGATGGAATGAAGAGAAAAAAAATGGATTTTTCGCATGTGCTTTAGAAAGACTATCGTTTTCCTCCTTCATTTTCCAGAAAAAAAAAACAGAACGATAAAGCCCAATCTATGGTTTGCTGGAACTCCGAAGACATTAAAAATGTCGATAGCTGTCAAAAAGGTCAAACCTGCTTGTGATTGGATAAAAATTTACTGCTGCCAGTGACCACAAAAGTGATCACCTCTGAGGTAAACTATTTATTTATTTAATTAATTATTATTTTTTATTTATTTTGTGTTTGTAATGGTTCTTTTTAACCTTCTAAAGTCTTAATTTGCACTTTATAATTTATTATTTTGCCAGCCCCTGTTCTTTAATATGCCAAAGCATTTGCCACTTTCTGAATAATATTTTTTTAATCTTTATGTTGCTATCTTTTTGAAGTAATTGCATGCAAAAAAAAAAGATTAAATCTATGCCAATTTACGAAGCTTTTGATTTTGCCAAAACCTAGATAGTATCCGAGGGCAATATTACTTGGGAGACTCATCATGAACTATAGAGCAATAATGACGTAATGCATGGTATTTTTAAAAATAAAGAAACAGTATAACAGTTTTTTTAAAAAAATCAGGTATGGTTTAATCCAGTATTCTTATTAGTCATACCGAAAACCAATATCAGGGAAAATGCCAATGTAGTGTTAGAGGATAAAAGGTTAACTGAAAAATTAAAAAAATAAAAAAAATCTTCCTTTCGTATATGGTTATGCACTGCCTGCCTCTAATTTAACGTAGTATTAGGACATAGGCTTGAGGTGCTGAAAGATCAGCTCCAAGCAGTTCAGAACATTTCTCCAAATCTGCGGAACACCCACTGAGGCAAAAATACTGGCACCCCATTGTCATTTCACTTAGTGGGGACAAGCAGTGGTGAAAGGCCATGTCCTTACAAGCCTGACTTAAGACTATTTGCACTGTATTCTGACTCAACTTGTTGGAGAGTAAAAGATGCCTTGTTTTTAGCCAAGTGGAAGTCCCTCAGATTTGTCCTTAAAGCACTTCATTTTAGACATTTCCGACTTAAAAACGATAAGTAGCACAAACAACTTATAGATTCAGGTAGAAGGAACTTGTATTAGCTAGACCTCTTTTTTTGTACTATGAAAAAGGTATAAACTGTTTATTGCAAGCCTTGTAAATACTCCTTTGGAACTTAAGATTTTTACAACTGTAAAGAATCGAATTATGTTATTTCTGGATATTTTTTTCCCTGGGAATTTTTGAGCCAGTATTTGAATGATGTAAGCACAATGACACCAGGCATTTTGTCGCACTTCATAATAAAGAATAAACAAAACAAAAAAAAAGCAACTTGTGTTTTATTTCCCTTCCCTGCTCGCGGTTGTGAATGCGTTGAAGTTAGCTGATGTAGTCAGAGCACACGCGAGTGCTGATGGATGAGAAGCACATAACAAACTCTTTTTAAACAGAAAAAAACGAAAATCTGAATCCCGATTGAAACCACTTCAAGCTGCTTCCATGGTTTTCCTGGTGGCATTTTGTTTTGTCGCTGATCACGTTAGGTGCATGGAGTCGTGTGTGAATGTTATATCATTCTTGCGCTTCAAGAAATAGTCAATGTTACACAAGGCGGAGTTGATGAAGCAGCACATTTCGGGTGTCGACTTCTGGATTGTTTAGGAGCTGCTCAGCAGATATGTTTTCCGATCACGTAGAGTGAAGAGTGATCTTGGTGTTTGCACCATGTCACCTTTTTCACGCATTCTGATCCTACAATTGTCCTTGTGACCCATTCACCACTGATTAAATTTACATATAGAACAAAGACAACTCCCCTGAATTAAATCAGAACCTATAGAGACGATGAACATTAGTACCGTATCAAGAAATAAGAAGGCCAAATAAGCATGTTGCGTCTTCTTCTTATTTTTTTACCAAAAAATGTCATGAAGTGCACAGACATTAGTTTAAGATAGACTTAAATGTTATAAATAGATTAAGCCTCTTCCTAATGTTTTGAAGCAAGGCATAATTGATTTTTAGAAAAGCATGTTCTATTGATGTCTGTATGTGAACTCCACTTTCCATATCAATTAGCTATAATATAATGTCCTTGTGCAGGAAACTTGCTCTTTTACACATTTAATGAGTTTACACATTTTGTTTATTGTTACATTTAGGGGGGTTAATTCACACCCTCCAGAGCCACAGTCCAGCAGATTTTATAGGTCACCCTTGGCTCATCAGTTTCGTAACACTGAGAACATTTTCATTTTGAACACTTAAGCAGGTGATGTGTTCAATTATGAAGCTGAGAAAATAACTGAAGTGAAAAATGCCCTGTAGCTCCCAAGAACCACAATCAGCTATTCCTGACTCTACTAAATTGATCCAAACTCACATATTCCCACTCCTTACAAATTAATGATTCAAGGGTGACCTACTGTACAGTATTAAGCCCACTGGATTGTAACTCTCCAGCATAAGGTGTGATTTAGTATCTTATGATGTTCCCACTGAAGAGCAATTTATGTAAAAACTGGGTTTTCAGATTCATACTCGGGGCTAGTATAACTGCATTGCACACTGACAGCAATATCCAGATGCAGTTTATTGTTGAAGCAAAGTTAACTGTTTTTTATAGGGAAGAGGCTACAAGTGCAATTGTATGTGCAGTTTAGCACACAGACGTAGTTTTACAGAAGCTCATCGATTAGACATAGTAAGCATTGTGCGTTGTGCATTTTCATACGTTGAATACAATGAAATTACATTATGCATACTCAGATTTAAAAAAATGGAGGCTAATCATCAATTACGATAGACTCCTCCCATTTGTTAACATTCTAGTGTTATTATGTTCTGAGGTTAAGTCTGAGACAAGCAATACTATCAACCTTTCCTGAACTTTTCACTTTTGAATGGTGAATTCAATCGCATATTGCACATACAGTAGACAGTATAATTCTAGTGGTACTACATACACTCCTGTACATTTTAATAATTAATATTCAGAATTCTCTATATCTAAAAATGCAGCTTGAAATCAGGTGCTCCTCACCTGCACTGTATGATGAGTACTGTAAATTCTGCAGTAAATGCTAAACCAATCCAGGTGACAGGGTCAAATAATTTCTCAGACATTGTGAGAAAAGATGCTTTACTCAGCATACTTGCAACATAACGGACATGTTGAATACAGCTCTTGAGACACTATACATTCTTATCTCATGGTCCATATTTCATTTATAGCAAAACCATTTGATTATTCCCCCAAACAGAAGCAACCATTTAAAAAAATAATCCCAAAATGAATATAATTTGTCAGTGTCTAAATTAATGAGGTATGAAAAATAAGCAGGTTTCTGTTGTTAGTTCATTAATTCACTAATCAAACAGATTTTGTTTCTTCTTTTTTCCTAACCTACATTTCAGTGTATATATTCCTCTGCAGAAAATGTCCTGGTGCAGGGCACAAAGCATCTGGTACAAGAGACACTGTAGTTCACTGTAGAGGCATTGAACGGCTGAAGAGCTCTTTATTACTTAATGGAATACCCTTAAAATTTAATTGGCAGCTTCAGAGGCTGTAGAGGTTTAGTGGTTTCTGGTCTATGACTTTAACCTTGAGAGACCATATTCCCAAACTGGATTGTGTCTCCAGCAAGATGTGCCTGGCGATTTTAAATAAATCCCCAGTGAACTGTATCAAATATAGGGCTATACAGTACCACTGCAGAGTGTCCCCTGGCTAATAGATTCAATACAACAGGTACTTTGCAAGATACTAGGGCATGTTCAGAATGTTAAAATGTTCTTTCTGTCTGTAAATATTATTTAACAGGTATTTGCTTTTAACAGAGCATAGTTGAATTATGAAAACTAATTAAATGTTTCAGTATATTTTACACCGAGATTAAATAATTTCTTTTTTCCTCCATTGTACTACCTCATACTATATTAGTTTAGAAACATAGGCTTTCAAACTGAATGAGCAAGTTAGTTTGGAATGCCTCTGGGCCAGAATGATTTTTATGGATTCTTTATAAATAGCATCATAACACTCCCACAACAAAAAAATGATCTTTCAGATTTTTTGTTGGTCTGAAGTGAACAGTGTACAGGATTAAATCCGAAACTGTATTTCCTTTCTGGATCTTGTCAAGGTCAGATCGTGGGTGCAACAATATGGGAATGCATTCCCAGAGTTCATGCATTTGGACACTGGAGAGCACTGCTTAATTCGCGTACACTAAAACTTTGAAGAGCTTTGAAAGTCTCACTGAAAGACTCTGAATGCAAGCTTCGCAGGCAAATTGAAACATCCGACAGCTCTGTAAGTTGGTATTCAAAGCATAAAATCAGACCAGCCATGTAACTTGCCATACAAAAAGTGTCACCCCCTGCTGGTAATATTTATGAACTTGTGGAATGTATTCACTTCACTTCAGAGTGCTAATTTACTGTAGATCTGCTAATATAGATGTTACACCTCAGAAGTTAAAAGCATTATAGATGAAGATTATAATTTACTTTTACCCCATATTTCAGCATTAATATTGGCAGTATTGACAAGCAGTGTCTTTTAAAGTGAGTCAGGAACTACATTAAAATGGATTTCTATATATTTCCCTTTTCCAAAATTATTACAAGTGTTATCTATAGCTAGGAGAGGAAAGTGTTTAGCACTCTACGAAACAGAAAATAATATTGCACACCTTTTCTTAATCGGTACCAGACATTGATAATAGGAATAACAGTTTCTTGCTAGCAGAAGCATTTTTATCACAAGAAAAAAAAAGTTATTATTTAGTTCTGGTAAATGAAGGTAACTGTAGGTAATAGGTAACTGTACTTTGCAATCTACTACTGTACAGTATATCATTTGATTCTTCTTATCCATACTATAAACAAATGCCATCACATACTGTAATAGACTGCATATTGTATACTGTATAACATTCACTTACCATGTGTAAACTGTTGGTAAAGAAATTTGTACATAAAAGTCAGCAGTTCAGGTTCTACAATTAATGTTTGTCAGACAACACATACAGGCATTCCTTGCCAATGATGGATACTGAAAGAGC